TGAACATCACACATCGCACACATCGCACGAATCAGGCACCATTCAAAAAAAGATCATCATTTTATATTTCCTCTTTCTTACTCACCGGAATATATCAATCACTAAAAACCGCTCGAGACCGCCTATCAATTGCACAGTCTGCACCGCCTGCATCTAGGTCTGCAACAGAAGACACCAAGAAAACTCTATGACATTTTTGCCATTCCATTCTAAACATTTGAGCGACAAATGACACAAATGACACAAAACTATGTAGAATTTTGAGTTGGAGAAATTGCAAAAGTTTTCTGTTGATATAAAGATTAAAACTTTGAAGGCGATCGATGCGACGATGAAAATCTTCCGCTTCTGGATGGTGTCACATGTACAGTAGCAAAGACACCATGTATTTCTGTGCAGGTTCAAACTCTTCTCCAAATCTACCAAGGTATCATCAGATCACATGATTATCCAGATATCTAGTTCACGGAAAATAGCATAAATCTTCCAGTACCGTATGCAATGAATGGATACAACTCGTACCTACGTGCATCTCGTTACCATAACCCGAATGAATGGAAGAAAAGGACCGAAACTCACGCTTTTCGCGAAAGAGAAGGATGCGAACTCCAGAAAGAACATTCCACAATGCGGAGAAGAACTTTCGTTTCAACCTTCCAGAGTACAGACTTCACGAGCCTCATGATCTTGAATCTCAACATCATCATTGTTTGACCATGTTTTCAATCGGACTCTTCCACTCTCGCCGGGAGCTTCCAATCAATCCATTTCCAATCTTTGATGGAATATGGATACCAGTATGCCAGTATGCGAATAGTCATTCTCATCTCACGTGAATACCTTCATGATCTCCTTTTTTCAATTGCATATTAGTAACATGTGATAGAAAGCTTACAAGAGGGTCGGAATAACTTCTTCCCTATCATTCAATTCGTTTGTTTCGCATCTCAACCAATATATCAATTTTTCCCCGATAGTCATGCGCCGCTGTTCCTGAGTTTGCCAGCAAAGAGTTTTGTTCTGCAGACCAATACTAGATTACCAAAATGATTTATTATTCTACACGTTCCTTTTGACATTTTATCAGGAGACCACATCATTAATTTTGATAATAGCTTGATCGTAAACTTTTCGTGTGCAATGAAATCTGGAGATGCGGTAGCGGTATCGTAATTTATCCTTCATCCCCACAATACCACCGAATCACGCCTCCTCTCTGCAAATCTCTAGGCCTCAAGATCTTGATAAATCATTGGCAATACTGATACAATCATACTTTTACCCCACAAACTTTGTTCACTTGCACGACACCAGACATAACTCCGTCTTTTGGCTTCCCTTGGTCTACGTGAGCGCAAGCTTCGGCACTCAATGACCTCTCGGTACGGTTCCGAACCTTGTCTCATCTCTTCATTGGCCATGTATTGAGTTGAGCAGTCAAAATAGTTGGGGCTTATGCTTTTTGCTTGGGGTCCCCAGATTCCCTCCGCATCTGGATATGTACCCCGGATACGGATAATCTAAAAGGCCCGATCAATAGAATGATTTGTTGGTTGGAAGGGTTTCCCTTGGTTTGATCGTCATTCATTTATGTTGATTTGGATAACGGGTCTAGAATGAACCTGTTTTTCACTTTGGCATGGCGGCAGTCGCGGAAATCTTTGTTCGTAGCTAAACCTTTACGGTGCCATCGTGTCCGCAAATCGGATATCTTGGGCTGTCCCGTTCCTAAAGCCTCCGATTATCTTCTAGGGCGCGGCAGAGAAATTAGGGCACATCGCGAGGAAGCATATGGTTATGATTTCCTGCCTTTATTGTAATGTCTACCGACCTAGTAATCCTGAGGTGACAGTGCAATTTGCGATGAGCCGAAGTTCAGGGAATAAGTGAACATTTCACATGTAATCTCTTGTATCCCTGACTGTGGGAGTCTCATTTCCGATACTTGTTGAAAATTACAGTGAGGCTGTTTCAGAGGCAGGAAACATGTGAATAAGTGTTCAGGGTCTGGATTTACTGTATGAAATGCATCCATTTTTTGATTCCCCAATTCTAGGTGGACATTGTTCTCCATTTCCCCTGGCATGTTATTCTGATTCCTTCGATGAAAAACTCCTATTTCATTTGATTGCGATATATTCTCCTAATTTTCACTTCTGCTCTACACCCCCAACCTGGAATGTCGTTCGAAAATAAATTGCTATGCAAACTCTACAGCTCCGATTTCGCAATTCCCAGACCAATTTTACTTTGAATTATGAGAACTCGTAGAGGTATCGCTTTACAGAGTGTTGTTTACTAATACTTACACTAGTCGGCAATCTCAAGCGTGGATCTTCAATTCTCATCAAGTTTGATGTTGTGATCGTTATTCTCTTCAATCATTGCTGGCAACAAAGTTGCTCCGTGACGATGGATAGGTAGTGCCAGCCATCGGACCCCGCTATGCAACAACTCCCCCTACACTCAACTCACTTGTTTTCGAGCCATATAATTTCCATGTCATTAAAATTTTACCTATCATCAAGCAAGACACTTTGAACATTCTTAATGAGCCTTCATGCGTCGTCCTGGATGTTCCTCGTTCTCGCACATACAAATGCACTGTTGAAATGACTTTTGTCTTTATGACTGCTATATTTGTCTCTATATCCCAAATTTTCTAGATACCATCGGCTTTTTCTTGACATGTAATAAATTTACCCTCCGCTTCCCATTGTTATCCTACTTGTTATGAGCCAGCGCCTGTTATGCATTTTCAGCGGCAGTACTTAGAAAGGTAAATATAGACATCACTATCTGGGCGAGACGGGGTGTATGGATGATGAAAGAGGTTCCTGTGTAGAGTTTGTATAAGCTTAGACTTTCATTTCTCAACGATCTGACCTTCTCTTGTTTTCTTTTAGCTTCTCGCGACTTGTGGCATGAAAGATGGTTGTGGGCTACATCTAGTGGTAGCTGAGATGACTCACGGTGATAGGTGGTTTATGACGGCAATCAAATATTAATATCACGGAAGCAATTTTTCATTCTCTTTAACTCTCAAATTTTCCTCTCAAAGTCCCAATTCTAGTGCTTGCCTTGAGATCCCCAGATTGTTGTATCCTGTGCACATGATATTCGCCAAAGAACAAGGAATATTAGTTTTCGCGCCAACTAAGCTAGATTTAAGTCTTATCTGCTGTAATTTATTTCTTTTTAGCTTCTCTACACAAATAGTATTTCTTGGACATGCAGGTCACGAATGTTATAACGATGTAACATTAACGCTGGCTTGGTAGCTACTTGACTGTGGTATCGGGTTTGGCACCAGTCGATTGGTGTTAGGAAGATCAGCTCAAGAAGCTCATTTTCATCTTGAATTACATCTTCCTCGCAACGTCACTGATAACTTCCAGGATTATAATGGAAGTGAACAGTCTTATCGATGCCTAGTCTCGTTTATGACGCTACCTCTTGTTGTAAGGCCTTGGAACCACAGCGGTACGAAGAGCAGCCTGAAAATACCGCATGTTCGCTATTAATAACAACAAAGTGTGAAGCCATTTACTTAACTGTCTAAATCATAGCTATCGACTAAGAAATCTATATAGATATAACTTCAAGTAAATTGTATCTCGAATTCGATCTAGATGACAGAAGGGAAAGAAATCTCACTGGCGCGACCTGGTTTAATGGAGAGGAGTCCACACATGTGCTAACTCAGACATATGATTTGAGCGGTGGGACCGACTTGGGCCACGGGTTCATACAAAAAGAAGGAGGGAAGAGGGTGAGACTGCTAGTACGAATAGATTTTAGGAGGAAGTGATGAATAATCATGTAGATTTTCTGGCTTCCTTTTGAACATTGGATTTCAATTTTACAAGATCTCAGAAGCGGTCTTTCCAGATTTCTATAGCCGAGGATTCTCTAGACCCATTTGCAAGTTAAGAAAGCAGCTCAGAAGACCAGTACTATTGCTTCAGACTCCGTTTTGCCCACACCCTCGGAGACGATAAAGTGTATGCTTTGAAGGTAAGAACTTCATTCAATGTGTGGAGTTTGACTGTGATAGTGTAGACTTAGAATGTTGAGTGACAAATATGTGGAGACGAGGAGGGACTTTCGGAATAGGGTGGTAGTGATGGTAATGGTGAAGCTTTTACCAATAACGGTGAAAAGGAGGTGATACCAACAGCAAGATTAGGAATTGTGGAATCTCATTTGAGCAGAGCATAGATCTGAGGTTGAACACATTAATAACTTCGATTTGAATCCAAGGTCCTTAGAGAGCGCTACCAACCAAATCTGAACGTAACTCACAGTCCACTGTGTTTTTATGATTGAAAAATGCTCGTTTTCCTTCGGTCGAAAATATGCATTGAATTCCACAAATCGAATACTTGAAACCTCACCTAAACGCCGTCACTACCTAATATATCACTTCGCAAGAATCCAGAAACGCCAAATCAAGTCTCAACCTACTGTTGGAATCAGAAGTCCTGCACCGTGAGCCGCAAATCGGCATCCATATATTATTTAGACTCAAAGAAGGGAGTAAAAAAGTATTTTCATAACAATGATTCTATCGATGATAGCGTACGGTACTATGTTTACATTTTTGCGCACCTCATTTTTGCAAAGGCATCACACAGTCTCTCAAACCCATACCTAGAATTGTGAAGCAGCCAACGCAGGAGCCTGTAATTCAGGGGCGTTCGGGCTTTGAAGCGAAGTGCGGGGTAAATCTAGCCCCTCCTTTGTCAAAATATTAGGCGTATTGATTGATAATGATTGCGGGTATAGGGGAGAACGTGACGGGAGGCTCGCAGAAGGCTAAATATTGATCAGATACAATAGAAAGTTGAAGAAATCAGTTTTACAATTGGATATCATTCAAAATATATAAATGATTGGATTGGCACAACTCAATTCCGTACAATCGTTCTCAGAGAAGGTTGAATAATGCGATTGATTAGGTATTAGTATTATGATAATCTAACAAATAAAGACCATGTTTACAAACTTAGTAAAGTCTCGACCAAATTTCCCGGCGTCTCAAAAAAGTCAAACATGACAATTCCCACCCTCTTTCCACTCATCCTTTTTAAAAATGTCATCAGGTTTTGATTTACACCACCAGCTGGCGTATATTCTGTCCCATTTCCAATAGCCATTGTCTCAGGAAACACACCATCTGAGATCTTTCCTCCACTGGCCCAAGTCCACCATAAACCATCGGGTGCTAAAGACTCATCCGCTGCCTTCATCAGATGTATCATTGTGACCTGGTACTTCGATTGAATATTGACCGTTGCATTTGACTGAGCTGGAGTTTGAGGCTCATAATTATCCTCGATATATGCTGTATAATTGTTTGCTGTATTATAATTAATTTCAATGTCAGGGGAATTATCGATCCAAAGAGCGGGGGAGAAATGAAGACCAGGTAAAGCATTTTCGTAAGCGTCTGACAATTGATCAAGATCGAAGCGGCGAAGAAGAACAATTTTACCTCTTGCATCACCAAGAGTTCCCAATTCATTTTTCGTCTGTAAAAAATACTTTGTTGCTGCTGGTGACGTGAGAACATTGAACAGCTTGAGTTGTGCTTCTTCATCATTTCTTCCATATTCCGTCGTGCTACCTTCATATTGAAGGCTAAGCAAGACTACTTCAGAGGGATGATTATCAAGCCAATGAAAATAACCAAATAGTACATCATCCAACGTTGCAGTCTGGGATAGAAGAGCTTGACTATGCCAAAATACAATCGAGGTGTTTGTAACATCCAGGGCAAATCTCAAGTCGAATGCTCGTATTCCCGCATTGAGCATATCTGCAATAGAATTATTCTGGCAGCGATAATACTCTGGTGGATTAGGGACTTGATTTCCTAGAGATGTGACACCAGATAGCGCAGACTGAGTGGCGAGAGAATAGTTCCAAGTTGCGGTATCGTGAGTCCCTGGAATATTCATATGTACGAGCTTTGTGGTATCAGCGTATCGGCTCATCCACGTCGAGGTATTCAATTGATTGTCTGCGTAGTTCCCAAAAATCGGAGATGCATTTGTAAGGAGCTTCTGGAGGGCAAATTCTTGCAGTGAAACATCTGACTCGCTGACTTGACGTGATATTGGGGAAGCATGGGCTCCATATGATATTGCCAAAGCGATTAAAAAGTTGGGAATAGCAATGAGCATGGCGATTGTAATTGTACACTTGGCGGTTTTATGACGGAAAGAATTGTCGACGCGTAGTGATTAAGCTTCAGAATTGAAGTTTGGCCGGGAATTGATAGAAGATGGGCTGAGATTGTGCTCTGTATGGGGTCAATATATATTACCGTTGTACAATAAATCAGGATAAGAAATTTGCTCTATGACACCGGCTCCAAATGTGCTTGATTTTCTAGTGCACCCCTTTAAATATGTGCTTGGAGATATTCGATGGGATGGTAGTTTCCTTTTGACGTGAGTGTGAGATCTTGGTGGAGTCTAGCAAAGTGATCGTCGAAATAGAGGGTCGGAAAAATACCTCGTTTCCCGGGCTCAATTCTCGACTTTAGTGGATTGATATTTAATCTTAGATTATTAGCATTAAAAATTCTATACTCCTTTCGCACATAAAAATGATTCCAATATTGTTCATTGAGACTTTCCATGCTAATAAAGCGGGATCACGACGGATCACTACGGAGTACGGATTCGCAGTGCTCACACTAATCCTTATGAGGTATGGTAAGATTGGCCCGGTGGTGTAGTCTATATCTTGATACGAAGTGTATTGTACAGAGTAAAGAGACGAGAATATATCGCTGAAAGTACCAACTCATATGAATCTTATTACTTTTGCCGGGAAAGAAGCATTCTTGTTCGAAGGAAGTCGCCCTCTCCTTGTTGACTCCCACGTGGGGTTCTGTGAGAAACACATGTGTCGAAACACCCACTTTGATTGGTGTTCTAATGAAAGGGAAACCCATTCGTTCTGAGTTTGCAATGAAACTTTAACCATTTTCCGGGTTTTCATCTTTGTACTGTCACCGCGTATATATGTTTAAATGGAGGTTCACTCCCACAAACCAATAACCAAGTGGAAGTGGAGGCTGTTTTTCTATACCGTTGGCCTTGCCTCAGGGTTCTTGATACTGTCAGCAAAATTTCACATCATGTTCGCCGGCAAATTCACCCTCTTCACAATGCTGGCGGGATCACAGGGGACGATTGCCCTATCTGCTTTCGAAACTTTATATCCAATCGGCCTGAACGACACTTCATACATCACAAATACTTCACTTGGATCGTATGGTGGCATTTATTCCGCTCCTGGGAAGTCTACAGCTTCAAACATAACATACGGCACATACGATTACTGCTCGATGCCCCATCCAAGAGTACAAGAATATCGACTTCCTTCACCTGTAGCCAATGGAAGTGTCAAGGCGGAGCTCGTCTATCTCGAGTATTTACAAAGACATCAGAGGAGGACTATGTATAATGTCTTACCCAGTGGAGAGGTTAATTGATATCGCGTTGACGTCCGTGAACTTGCTAACTTTAGTTAGACCGTGCCGTTCAATTGCTCAGATATTTCCCCATATCTGTATGCTGGACCTCACGATGCCACCTTGGAACAGCCCATTCCAGTATATGCTAGCACATATACAGATGCACATAATCCCTTTTTGGGCAATTATATCTCGGGAACTTGCCAATATCCACAACTTACAATCGGTGGCCTATTAGATGGCTACCAGCACGGCCGGGACCTTTCAGGAGTGTATGGCGCCACCGGTAAACTGAGTCTCTTCCCCACAACTCCATCGTTGGAGAAAACTTACTTTCGCTCCTCGGAGTCGCCTTTGACGCAACAGAGTGCTGGAGGGGTACTACGTGGAATCTGGCCCAAGCATCAAGGATCAATTTCTCTCCATCAACAAGCAAATTCACTCGACACAGTTAACGCAGGGTACTCTTGCCCCGCAATTGCTTCAACACTAGCTAAAATTCAGTCAACTGCTGAATGGAAAGATCACCTGACGGCTACATCAGCCATACGTACTACACTTGGAAACATGTTCAACGCAGACTCTAGTGCATGGCAAGGGACAATGGATCATTTCGCAGACAATTTCCAAGCTCGTCTCTGTAATGGTTATTCGCTTCCTTGCTCTCCGACAAATGCTTCAAACTGCGTAACTCGGGAAATGGCAGATGAAGTTTTCAGAGCTGGAGACTGGGAGTGGAATTATTACTGGAGGGCAAATCCATATGTTCAAGAATACATCCAAGTCGTCGAGGGACTATTTATTGCAGAGATAGTGTCAAGACTGGAAAGTGTTGCAAATGGGACAATCCAAGGAGGAAAGTATAGTCATACATTTGTTCATGATGGAGATATTGGTCCAGTAGCAGGCGCTTTGGGTATAAATGCTCTGAGATGGCCTGGAATGGGGAGCAACATTGCTGTGGAGATTTGGAAACTTCAGAACTTTAGCAGCCCGGCTATTGATGGACATTTTGCAAGAGTATTGTATAGTGGACAGCCTATGCAGTCAAGCCAGGGAGACTTGGACTGGGTTCCATTGCGAACTTTATTGGGAATTTTGAAGCAATTTGTGCCGACAGATATTGTGTCGCTATGCAACAGCTGAGGGAATCACCAGGGAAGATACCGGGAAGGGGATACTCCTTAGTAAAATTCACATGAAACATCCTATTATGTGAGAATACTGTCAATCTCGTATTCCTTATTTGAGAGCAGACTCAATCATTTATTCCTTGAGCTAGAATGTGAGAGAATACATTCAAGTACTCGTCCTAGTCTCCCCAAAAAATAATGCTGCAGTTGAGAGATTGAAGTCTACTTAAGGCCGTCACAATTTCTTTCTAGGAAAGCAGAAAGAGACTGCACTTTTACATTATTCACTAAAAAAAGAGTCCATCACTGCCCACACGATTGAATTTGGCGAATGAACCCTACTCGAAACGTCATCAACGTGCCGTTGGCGATTGAGGATGATGCCAGAATATATCGCAACAGTCAAATCTGATACCAAATGATAGTAAGACTTATCAATGTGCTGCTACCAAACCACCCAGCAACTCTATCCTTCAAATCCTTTTAACATTGCAAGTACATTCCTGCACTTTTTTTTTTATATACCTGGAGACAAAATCACGTGTGCGGGGTCGGCTAGTACCGCAAGTCGATGTAAAATGGACTTGGATCTCATTCGGTCCCGACATCAAGAAGGCTTTCTGCCCCACCGAACAATAAGACAATTTCGACCACTTCACTCGTCCTTTACCAATCATAAAAAGCTGCAAATTCAACCAAAGCTTAATTAATGCCGATTCTCAATTCCACCCCTCTCTACTCGTAGTCTCTTATATAATTAATGTTTCCTTCATGCAGCCTTCTTATCCTCCCCATCCCGTATCAAGAAGCCGGGTGGCTATGACTTTTTCCACTTTTCATTCGTGTCACGAGTTGTGGGGATCGTGGGGCACTCCATGTGCGTACGTACTACAAATGATGGACTAATATATATGAAAAGACTTGAAGAATCGGAGGATATTTCTATCTTATATAGAACCATACACTCTGAATTCTGGGTACCAATCTACACCACATAATTTCCCTATATACCACATAATACGACATCATCCAACTCATCAAACAAACTTAAACATCGATTCAGAAAGTTCCTGAAAATAGCCATCATGGATAGAGCATCACACATTGTGATCATTGGGGCTGGTAAGATGCTTCGATTCCTTTCTCTCGAGTTCATCTACTTACAGTTATAAGGCATGGGAGGGCTGTCAACCGCATTGTCTTTAGCTAAAGAAGGCTTCACAAACATCGAAGTTTTCGAGACAGCGTCGAATTTAGGTTTCGTCGGTGCTGGAATTCAATTGGCGCCAAACATGGCCAGAATATTGGATATGTTGGGCTGTTGGAAGGAGATAGAGGCCGAAGCTGTTGACTTGAAGGAAACCAGCATTAGACGTACGTTCAGTTGCTCTCTTACCCTCTCGCCAAATTTTGAGAGTTATTTTTAAACCATGCGTTAACATACCTTATCTTGCCCACATTTTCCTTCAAAAGCATGTTACTGATCAAGAAACAGAGGGCGATTCTGATAAAGAGCTTGCTCACGTGGATCTTTTGTACATCAGAGAAACCTATGAATACCCTCATATGGTTGGCCACCGATCCAATCTTGCTGGCTCTATGTATGAGGCTTGTAAGAAAGAGAGTGGCATCAAATTTCATTTCTCTGTTGCAGCCGAAGCTGTCGAGTCTTTTGGCCCCAAGCCGCAACTAAAGGTTAAGCCACGTCACGGAGAATCTTATACTGTCGAAGCCGATGTCATTCTCGCATCAGATGGTATTAAATCGATCGTTAGATCAAAGATTCTGTCTGATTTGAACCATGACGCACACATTACCGACACGAACCAGGCAGCATATAGAATTATGCTAAAGCGTGAGGAAATGGAGAACGACCCCGAACTTTTGGAACTTATCAATGGAGACAAGGTCACAAGATGGATTGGAGAGAAAAGACATATCATCGCCTACCCAGTCTCAAGCAAACAAATCTACAACCTCTCCACAGTTCAACCAGACACAAATTTCGCTGCCGCCCCTTCAGCTACTTATACCACAAAGGGTGACAAGAGCGCTATGTTGCACATTTTCTCAGACTTTTGCCCTAAAGTCCAACGCATGTTGAACCTTGTTCCAGATGGTGAGGTATGTGAATGGAAACTTCGTGTCCACAGCCCTCTTCCGACTTGGGTCCGCGGATCCATTGCATTAGTTGGAGATGCTTGCCATCCAACTCTTCCTCATTTAGCTCAAGGTGCCGCTCAAGCAATTGAAGATGCTGCCGTGTTAGGTGCTGTGTTTTCCAAGTGTCCTTCAAACAGCCCATCAGATATCAACAAATCTTTACTCGTTTATGAGAGCGTTAGAAAGGAACGAGCCGAAACCCTAGTTGAGCTCGCTGCACAATCTGGACGAGCTCTACATTTGGGTGATGGAGCTGCGAAGGCAGAGAGAGATAAGCAATTCGCTGCATTTAAACAAACGGGGGGAGCAGTTCCAGATAAATGGGCAGATGCTGATGTTCAAAAGAGGATTTATGGTTTTGATTGTTATCAAGTTGCTCTTGACAGGTTTGAAGATTTATTTGCCAAGGTTGAAGAGGGTAAATTTGTCGGTTTGGACCAGCCAGTTAACAGTTCAGGTCAGAACGGAAATGCTGCCAATATATAATATCAATATACATACAATGTAAAAACTTTATCTTAAATGTTTAGCACCCACTCGATTCTGCACCTGGGACCATTTATTCTAATTTGTAATTGGAGGTAGACTCAACAATCACTGTTTCGAGGTTGCGTGAAGCAACCTGAATTATATAACATACACGTGCGACGGATTCGTAACCAAACGCTTCGTTATTATCGTATCTTCATCCCCCTTGTGGCTTATCGTACGGGCAATGCCACTAAACATAATTGCCATACGATCAACGACAACAGAGCACAGTCTTCAAGAAGTGTCTAGGCCCCCCACAGTCTACAATGAAAGCACCAAAGTTCGAGAGCGAAGAACTTTGATTTGGGGCCATGGTGCGTCCGAGTGGCGTTTTCGGATAGCCTGATTTAATGCATACCTAACATCAGACAGCGACTTGACTCGCACGTCCATCAGAGCTAGTAGACCCTGGTATCATTCATTTTTTGTTTTGCTCCGAAACGGTTTCAAAGACCAGATGAGTTTGAAATCGGTGTCTCGATGATTTAAGGCTCAGAGATTATTTCAGGTAATTGTTGCGAAGTCTAAGCAAGAAGATAAAGGATCATCGGGAGGTTAAAATTATTACAATTAAAATGAGCATAATATCGAAAGCCGTTCGAAATCTCTACTTGAATGGAGCGTGTGGTGTAAATACATCCGACGAATATAATTTCGTGCTTGTGAAATGAACCTCCCCGGAAAACGCCTATTGTCCAATTGATTGGTCCCATATTAAGTTGGTTACCCTACTTTCGGGCCACCCCTGTTTTGAGCCAGTTTTCGACCACTTTTTACATCAAAAATGGAATTTCTAACTTTCTTATTTATGAATAGAATACATTGAAAATTTATATATATATATAATTTAGATTGTTTTGAATTTATTCTGAAATTTTTAGATTTTTAGCATTTTTCTGTATTGAGATCTAAAGCTTTAAAATATCAATTTTTTAATTTGTATAGGAATCACATATATTAGACGTTAATCACTATAAATAAATATAGGAATCACATACAAATTTGAAAATTTTATAAAATCTTTAATAACTTTTTAATAAAAATTGCTAAAAATAAATTATAAAATTTTATTATAAACTTATAGTATATTTTATTTAGGAGATTCAGAAAAAATAGAATTTTTTTTATAAATAAATATTTAAAGAGGTATTCTCAAAATGACAGGGATTATTTATATTATTTTAAACTCATTGTATATTATATTTTTATATTTGTTAATTTTTTTGAATTTTTTTTTGAATTTCTATATAGATTTGAACTCAAAACTTTCAAAAAGATATATAGTTTTCTTTTAATAATTGTTATTAAAAAGTTATTAAAGATTTTATAAAATTTTCAAATTTATATGTGATTTTTATATAAATTAAAAAATCGATATTTTAAAGCTTTAGATCTCAATACGGAAAAATATTAAAAATCTAAAAATTTCAGAATTGTGACGATTGGGTTCAAGGCATGATCGATAATTGATAATGAATAATGAATTGAAGTTAACAATCTATACGAAAGAATATCAAGTTATCGAATACAAGAATTGAAGGTATAATGTCCTTTTATACCTTCTGCTGGCAGGACCTTAAGGTCCTGCCGGCAGAACCTTTTTCCCTGCCCTGGCAGGCATAATCCTTTCAATCCGTCACAAGAATAAGCTTAAATCAATCTAAATTATATGTATATAAATTTTTATTAAATTATATTATATATTGATAGAGGTATTAATAGGCCTAAAAAGTGATTTTTGGTGTGAAAGGGTGGCCCAAAACTCTGGTGGCCTGAAAGTAGGGTAACTGACTTATCCCTCGAAATGAAAATCGCGAATAAATCGTTATCATCGTCACCAGAAACTCGTCTGTTGTAGTGCGTGCATATTCTTGCCCCCCCGCCATCCATTATCCACTCACTTGCCAGACCCATCTCTTTTATTCTGGAAATTTTCGATCAGAGATGTCTATTCCCATTCAAGATGAATTACACATAGGAACGCCGTAGAGGAGGTTACCTAAATCTAGGTTGGTGAATGCGTAGAATCAGGAGATCCAAATCGACTCTTCCGAATGTTCGGATCATCCATCAAGATTCTGACGTCGAACCCCCTCTCCAAATCTGTGGGAGAAAATTGACCTTTAGATGTACCTTCATATTGATCTAAAGCTCCGGATCCTTGTATCGCTCTGGGCAATCCGCGAAGAGTTTCAATAATAAGGTCTGCTTGCTGCATGGTTAAGCCCTCCTCCCGTTTTTCTTTATCCGCATCCCCGCCAACCAATTCATACTTCATTGCTTTCAGTGCCAAGTACAATAATGCAGCAAGGGAAGCTCCTAGAGCAGGACCAAGCCAGTAAATCCAATGATAAGTTGGGAATGAAGCTTGAACAAGGGCTGGTGAGAATGCTCGGGCAGGATTGATTCCTGCTCCTGTCCAAAATATACCGACAAGGTGGCCGACGAAAAGTGAAAACCCAATACCGATAGGTGCGACAAATGTAGACTTTGTCTTTTCGGCAACGAGCATGAGGATTGTGAATACAAGCATAAAGGTTAAAAGGAGTTCCATAAATAAGCCTTGAACTTTATCCGGATCGAATTAGTAAAGTGTCTTCCGCTTCCCTGGATTGTTCATGCTTACCATCTGTAACACCTGGTCCAAGTGATACTGCAAAAAGTATGTCGTCACCAGGTATGATGCCTTTGACTGCCGCAGCAGCCAAACTTCCACCGACAAGTTGAGCAGGTATAAGTATCAATGCTTTCGTAGGAGACACTGCCCCAATAAGCACGAGTGCGAGAGTGACGGCCGGGTTAAACTGCCCCCCACTGACACGAAAAAAAATCCAAACGTTTGCTGCAAGACTAGCACTAAATCCAAGTGCAATATATAACAGTTTTGATGTATCAGTCGCGTTGGGTGTTAGAGACTTAGTTCCGTTGGATTGGTTCGCCGTTTGTGCTGCAGCAAATGCGAAGAAGAGGAACAGAAAAGTTCCAACTAGTTCACCGATCATAGAGACCAAGTAATCTCTAGCTGGGTTTCTCAATGCCATGATGCTTGATGTCGCTTAAATGATTCCAACTGATATATAATCTAGAGATTACCAAACAAGATGGTACGACTCCAAACAACTGGACTTCTCACAATAGTGCAAGGGAAAGACCATAGAAACAATGCAACCTATATTTGAAAAGAATAACGAAGAAAGTAAGACAGCGGGGAGGAGGAGGTATAATAACAGAGTCATTATGCAGTGTAGCAATTGAACCGGTTCTATAAGTATTCACACATCGAACCTCGAGATGTTTCGATACCCCAGAATATTACACTAATAATGGACATGGAGTGATATGACGATCAATAACTATATCAAAAAATTGGGCTTCAGTTATCCCACGAACGTCACACGACGGAGGGCTGGGTGAAACCGAAGTATACACTGAATATTGCTATAATTTGGAGTTACAGAGTCGGATGATTAGTGCCATAACACATAAGAAAAAAACGTACAGATGCACTACACCTCAAGCGCAGATCACTATATGCCTTCGCCCACCATAGCATCCCGGGTAGTGTTCAATCAATTCCTGGTATTATTCAGTTTTGTACTGGAGTTACCCGGATATCAATGAAAACTATATGACAAATTACAAATTCTTGTGTATCGGTCAAAAGTTAGCAAAGGAATGCTAGGAGCATGAAGCGCTCAAGCCTCACCATGTCTAACGTGGTGGTTTGGCTAGTTTCAACGGAGAAAAACGCTAAACTAACAACAAATTTAGAAGCGGATGCCGGATTCTATCTCAAAAACCCCACGGCGGTGGTATGCTGCAATGATACAGGTAATTTGGTTGGTAGCTGAATTTGAACATTCGTTCATTTGAAACCTACGGGTGTCAATTGGCGGGCGTATCCGTGCCACAATAATTCATCGGATTGATTGAGATGAAAAAAGCTCTCTGACTATCGTTTAAAAATGGCAAGTCGATGGAACCAAGACATTTATTTTTGCGATTGATGATTTTCGTCGGAATTTTGGCAACGCGGGTCGTGGTGGCAGCGGATGCTTTCGAAACGATCAAATTGATTGTACCTATATCAACCAGCGAAGCAAGAAGTTTTTGCTACCCAAAATGTCTTGATAGCTTGCAGAATGTAATAATCATCTTTTGATCAACATGTACTCTCAAATGATTGTGATAAACTTTTTTCAATGTGAGGCCAAACATCCCGAATCAATCCACGTAGCGTGAGATGGACATCGTTTTCACAAACGGTCGCTTAAAGCCTATAGATCCGCCTAGTTTATGGTGAAATGTGTTAGAAATAGTCATACAGAGTTTTGATGGGTTTGACGACTGTCCATACCATATCATGCACATGCTACCGCTGCTGCAGTGCGAATCGGAATACCTTCTTACGCTTTCAAGTATCATTCTGATATTCCACAAAGGACCATCTCGCAACTGTGGCACTAGCTGAATTTATGACGTGTTTTGGAAATGAAACGTGATAGGATAAGATTTCTCTGGCTAATAATAACGGAAAAGAAAAATCGATCAACTACTGGGTAGCTTTCCGAGTGTCAAGAAGATGATGACTGTAATTATCACAGCAGAAGTTGATGAACTATAACCATGCTACCTTCTAGTATTAGGGACTCTGAGCATCCGGATTTCGTGAATCGCAAGTGTAAATCCCTTCTCAACTATCTTCTACTTGATTCTGCATTAATCGCCGCCATCAGCAACGTGTTTCATTACTGATGAATGCTTGAAGGAGACACGCGACGCGATGTAATAATCTTGGAGTTTGATTCGTTCATTTTGGACCATGAGAAAGAATGACCCTAAAATTTCTCGAGATCTACGGTGGCACATCGCCTTCCTATGAACGTTAGCCACGAGGTGCAATTATGCGTGAAACCAACTGCCATGATCTGACAGCTCGGAGAATTTGTATACCAAGTGGATACTTTGGAGACTTTACACGGGGTGGTATTCGGCCCCCTAAAAATTGTCAAAAGAATTTAAGTAGACCACTTGGTCTCGATCTTGGCGATGCCAGGATGCACAAAATTCATGTAAAAAAACGTCAATCAATCTCACAACATATCAGTATCCGCCAAATCAAGGTTCATTTCGAAGAACATTAATATTGACCTCAGCTGAGGATGATCTTCATTGTATTGAAGGCCAATAATCGTATATCGAGAACCAATTGCTCAGTTGTTGAGTTAGATCATAGTTGAGTGACTTGCAAGTTATAAATGGGCCACTACAGCTTCGAAGATAAAGTTAGTGGGAGCTTTCAGGATTGACTTATATGATATGGGCTGTCGATCTTGAAGGAAATGGCTTGCACTACTACCTGGTCCTCGGCTCCACTGGGAGATCACAACAGAGAGAAGAGTCGGGCCAATTGAATATTGTCTTCTCAGGATGGTTTGGTAGAGATGGCCAAGGGAAAACGATTTCGAAAATCTTACTGAGTTGCAGAAAACACATTGTGAAGTCGTTGAACTATGAGGCTTTTTCCATTGAAAAGGAAATTAACTCTGGTATCCATCGTGCTTGATCTGGAACTTAGAAACAATCAATGAATGGTCGGGTCAACTTCCCGCGCACAGAAGTCCGGCCGGGAGTGAAATTGAAGACGATGACTTTACTGCAAGTGAATTCAAAACTCGCGGCACCACCAAGTACCTTTGTCAAAGTCTCAAAGCTATCTACCCAGTAAGAAATGAGGGCAGTAGTCCATTTAGAGTCTGTGAAGAGTCTTAAGCCACGTAGGGTACTAAGGTCTAAAATTGAGCCCTGTAAATGAAGGAATTAAGATTGAGCGATCTGAAGCCCGGTCAAAATGGCTCTACTTTAGAATCGAAGAATGGTCATGCACAAATCTGAAAGAATATGATGTGTTAAAATCAAGTGGTATGGGTACAGAGCTGTCGAGGTTGTATACCCGATTTGTCAGAGTTTAATTATGCCTGGTTAAAAGTTTTGTAGCTCCTATTCTCTGTCGACGGTATCATGTGGGGTCAGAGAAGTTATTTTTTGGTCGAAGAGGATGGATAGCGGAGGAGGGACAAGTGAGATTTTTGATAATTCTGCCGGGCGGTGACAGATTGAGGCTCGCTTTACTTACGCAAAACCTCAACCAAGGCTGTAATCGTATGTTTCACTGCATGCAATTTTACAATTGAATGTCGAAGCTCTGTCAAAAAAGTGAGCAGAGTTTTGCTGTTTATATGCATTATTATAAGAAGATTGCGCGAAAAGGTATGCGGATTAAATATATAATGGCAGATGTGCAATTGGCTTTGAAAGGTATATATAATTAACATTCTGAAAGTTCCCAAGCTCCCTTCCTCGGCTCGTTTGTGTGCAATATGAAGCTCATTTATGATGTCGCAGAATTTGTATCGAAACGGAATCTTTCACGGATTGAGATATTACCAGCCAAATGGAACATGTTCGTGGAAGTTTCAAGTGGGCCGACCGGACAATTGTTGAACTTTGGCATTATGGAATCCCAACCGCTGCGAAGTTCATGAAAGGGTTTCCACCCTGCATGCTTTAGGGATACCCTTGGCAGTGCGGCAGGCCACTGCTTGATCAAGCAGTTGTTGGTATCGCACAAAGCCTTATGTCAAGACGAATACTTGGCAGAATGCCAGGAAAGAATATGCAAAATGTGCTTTGTGGACATCTCTTTTATATTAGAGAGAAGTTCAATCAATGAATATGATAGCTGCAGCGGAATCTCTCCTTGAACTCTAAAACTTTCTTTATTTTTTCACTCTATCTTCAGTCCGTCGAGTCTATCATTTTCGGGTCGCACGCAGGTCTTTGGGTGTCAATTTGCGTAGTGCTTTAAAGCCGGGTCTCCCAGGGGGTTTTCGGTACAGATTTTCTCCATTTCCACAAAGTTTCTAAACCGAACGCCATCCCCTTAGTCATCTGCTTAATCCGTATAGAGACTTTGCTGCTCTCTCCATACATAGCAGTCGTTTTTTGTTTTTGTTTTTGTAAAGCCAAGACTGTTGGCTGTTCTTCCCACAATACATCCTGCACAAACTTTTGTGAAAAGGATCACTCCCGATATTCTTTAATTTCTACGTCTCTCCTCCGTTTCTGATATTGAATCTCTCCCATGGGCTGGTAAACGAGTCTGAGTGTAGGACTTTTTTGCATCGCCCTTCTCAAAATTCATCAAAGTTTCATCCGCTGGTGTAAACACGTTTTGTTTGCCTCACCAAACCCGCGTTAATGCAATGCCACTGAATTGATGCTAACATTTTTGGGAAGTCAGCATGCCTAAACCCCCCTTAACACGGAAAACTGAAACTCTGAGGATCATTCCTAAAATAATGAGCTAATATCGAGATTTTATCGCTTCAAGAGCTAGTCATTGTAATCATGTTCATTCTCCCTACCACAAGTAGGCCAAAAGTTTGACAAATTCTAAAACAGAAGTCAAAAGTCATATACTACAGGAACCACAATGACCGCTCAGCCTTCCAATTTCCAATTTTTGTGTCTGTCAACAAATTCAACTAAAGCCCTTCTCACCTCATTCGGATGCGTTGCACTCAAGAAATGAGCACCCCCCTCCACAGTGACTAGCTCCTTACTGGCAGCATTAACAAACAACTTGATCTCTTCTTTAGCATTTGATAGACTGTACACGGCATCTGAGGTTCCATGTAACCAAAGAATTGGACATCGCACATCTGACAAGCGGCCATGCAATCCGTCGCGCTCCCTGAGATTTATGGCTGCCATTCGAATCCTTCTCCTACCTTCATCCCCGCGGTATGTTTCTTTGATTGTTTTCATCCAAAATTCTCGGATATCATAAGAACAATCATTGAATCCTATATTGACCAGAAGATTGCAATATTCATCATCTGGCTCGAAATCCTCAGTCAACAATTTGGGATCGGCTGTGCTCTGTCTGATAATTTGACTTAATGCGGCTGAAGCATTCCAACAACCAAGAGAGCGTGTTCTTTCGGACTCATAGTCCATGGATGTTCCTAGAGGAATG